TTACTACTATTCAAACACTGAAGTATGTTATTGTCATTATTTATAACCATTGCGATTTCAGGTAGTTTGCTGGTGATGCGAACGTGTGATATATAATGATATCATAATATACTGCGAATCTAGTCTTTCCTTCTTTATTGAAACTTATGAAGGGAACGAGTTTCATGAAATTTTCGAAAGTTACAGTATCTCTCAGGAAGGAACTGATTTGGTTTATAAGTAGCCTGTGGAGGTACAGAGTGAAAAGTGCGGATGAATATCTATTTTACATTTTTTACTATGGGTCAAATAAATGTTTTTATACTTATGACTCATTTTTATTTGAAGAAATCGGTAACTACAGTTCCCCCAGCTGATTCATCACTGTGAAATAGAAGTCTGGTAGAAATAAAAGGTGTTAATGCCTAATGTTGCACAATTGTGTTCACCACTGTCCTCCAGATGATCAGTCGAGAACCAGAATAGTTCAGTTGTAGTGTCTGTGACAGCAACACTTGATGACGCCTTCATGAATCTCCTGGAGTCCTTCAGTTCAAAACGCTGACGTTACTTGTGTCAAATATGAATCTTTACAGAACTCGGTGATAGAAAACGGAATGTTTGCTAGCATTCGTTGACTAATCTGTCTCATCACGTGTAGTGTCAAGTATTTTAGTTTATGAAATGCGGCAACTGTTATTATACAAGAGGGTTTTCACTGCATTTGTTGAAAATGAGGCTGTTGGATGGCATTTCTCTAGCTGACCACAAGTTAACAAGCTCCATGTTGCCAGTGTATCCTATAGACTACAAAATGCATGATTAACTTCACAGAGAAATTTATTTCATCCATGAGTCACCGGGTTATTATATCTGTCCTCATAACTATATAATGCGTTAGGCATAGAAATCTGAATATACCCTACTTTGAGTAGTTGATTGAATCTGATAAATTGAGGAGTTTAGCAAGATATTTCGGAAATTAATTATGAGAAAAACAGTTGGATCACCAATTACCACATTGAGATGTTTATTTGTCTGTGGCTCAATTCATTTGAGAAAACGCTTGACTGGGTGTTCAGATCACAGTCATTCTTATTCAGTGTTGTTTACTGGTGAATAGGTATTTCTACTTTTCTGATTGATTTACGCGATATTGTTTGAATAATACAGTGAGAATAGCTTTTTTAGGAGGCGAAATGCTTGTGGTAGCTGTCACTTATGACGAGGAGTGTTGAACTCGTGTCAAATAGTGCACAATTCAGCAGTTTAGCTCATTTTATCACCGTCGTTACTCTGTTCCTGTGTCGTACGGGACATCAAATCAACACTCCAGAATGTTGCAATGTAGTTAACAGCGTAAGGTATTCATAAATACTTGAAATTGATGTCACATTTGACATCCGAACAGTGAAGCCTAAATTATGTGTTCCACAGTGGACACTCACTATCTGTTTAATAGCTTTGTAAGCGCTGAACTCATCGATTTCTGCATCAAAATTTCATCTCATGCTTATGACATTAATTGGATTTGGCATTCATCCTCATCGCAGTCAATTATTTTATTCATATCTTTCTTATCAATGATCGCTCAGTTTGTTCGACTATCATTTCACATGATTTAATTAGCCACCTCTACTTTCGTCTGATTTCACTTTGAAATCCCAGAATATTATTCTCATTGCAATATAAAATGTCTGTTTTCTGATTATGACAAGTTCTTCAAAATTCCTTATACTGATTCAAAGAGTCAGTTATAATCTATCATGCACCTTTACTGTATTCTTCAGTAACTTTTCAAAATACTAATCGAAACGTTACCTTAGGTATAAATAAATCATAAATCAACTGGCGCCAACAACAATTAACGAGGTGACTATGAATCCCAAGAAATCAGACACCACAGTTACCACTTCACTGTTTTTCAAATACCTAAATCAGATTTCTCTCAATATTGATGTATTTGAATCATTCGTACCCAGATAATTGTTAGAAAACAGTTGGTGGTTCATCGAAACGTATCAGTGTTTGGATAAATCATACTAGAATTTTACACAAATGCGAAATTACGATTAACTAATGATAATAATAAGTGAATTGTAGAGATCAACTAACAAAGATACTCAGGAGCTGACTGACACACAGTTTACAGAGTCTTTAAAAAAGCTGAAACAACAAGGCGATATTTCACCTGACTTGTATGAAGCACTAAAACCTGTCGGCACGGTGACATCGAAGTTATGCAGCTCACCAAAGATTCACAAAAACAGCTTGACACTTAGACTGGTCCTCGATATGTCTAGCTCACCATACCATTCAACTGCGAAATGGCTGTTGGAACATTTACTACCGTTGCACAAGAAACGTGAAAAATAGCGTAAAAGATAGTTTTGAGTCCGTAGAAAGAAATAGAGAGTTAAGTGTGAAGGATAAATACATGATATCACTGGGTGTTTCTTCGTTATTCACCAATATGCTTATGATGGAAGCAGTTGACTACATATGTAATTAACTAATAAAGCAATGTGTAAAGACTGGAGTTTCTGTGTTTTCCTCAGAAGAACTTCTTTTAGGGTGCACAATGAACGTAAACTTACTGTTCAATAAAGAAATGTATAGACAATTGGATGGTGTAGCCATGGGATCACCACTAGGCCCAATCGTAGCAGATTTTTTCCTGGAGAAACTAGAGAAAGGTCCTCTTTAAGACGTAATATATAATCTTGATTTCTATTGCTGATATGTCGATGATACATTTACAGTTGTGAAGACATATTGGATAAATTCAATGAAGCACATCCTGACATAAGCTTCACTAAAGGAGAGGAAGAAGAAAATAATTCTATCTCCTTTTTTGACGTCCTAGTGACTAAACGAATAGACGGAACAATTTCGATAAAGAAAGGAAGACAAAATTTGCAGTATAAAATGATATCATTCTATTTCACAGGTTCTCATCAGCTGCAGACTACCTGAAATTACAATGGTTATATAAATGATAATAACATACTTTAATGTTTGAGTAGTAGTAGAGAAGAGATAAAATTGACGCTTTCATTCTTTTTTGGATGCGTCAATTTTGTCTCTTCTCTACTACTACTCAAACATTAAAGTATGTTATTATCATTTATATAACCATTGTAATTTCAGGTAGTCTGCAGCTGATGAGAACCTGTGAAATAGAATGATATCATTTTATACTGCAAATTTTGTCTTCCTTTCTTTATCGAAATTTATCAAGGGAACCAGTTGTATGAAGACGGAACAATATTTAGACGTTTGCATAGAAAACCTACTTCCACTAGACAATATACTCACTTCCTGAGTTTCGTACCTCTATAATACAAACGTGATCTGGTTAGATGTCTGGTTCGCCGGACTAGAGTTTTCTGTTCAAATGAGACACTAAACGAAGAACTCGGTAATACTCGTGATCTGCTAAGTAGAAACGGATATCCGACCGAATTCTTGAACAAACACATGAACTCAGAAAGTAAAAAGTCAAAGGTGCTCACTGTTCTCAAAAAATTATTATTCCTAAGATTACAATCCACCGGTGATCTCAATAGTGAGATCTTATCACAAAGTCTGAGAAGGGCCTTCAAAAGGACTTTCAACGCAGCTAATCTACGCTGCATATTCACTAGCCAACCAATACTTACTTCAAGAAATAAAGACAAACTTCCCTGTCTTGCCTCTTCGATGAGTATTTACCAGTTTAACTGCTCGTGCAGAGGAGCTAGTTACATTGGGCGTACGATCACGCAAGTTCATCATCGAATTTCTGAACACCTCGCATCTTGGTTTCGCAAAGATCTGAATAAAGCTATACGCAGCTCAATACTAGCTCATTTCGTGCATTCTGGACGTCAAGTTGACTCTAGCAAAGCTTTTAAAGTTTTATCGCATATCATCCAACCTCTCGCATGGTCTGCGAGTACGACTTTTACATACAGTCAAGGCAATCGGAATTCATCTGAATGAGCCGAATCTGTATGTTCGAAAGAAATTTGTACAGCCCCTTTCTGTGTTATGGCCAACTTCATAATATGTATTAAGTTTTTAAAAATGATTTCCTTCCCCCTTGTAACTATCTTTTGACTTTGTTAGTTTTTACACTTCTAGCTAATTCTATTAACTTGTTTGTATTTTACGTAATTCCACTGAGTCATCCTATTTTGCTTAGTCATCATTATTTTACAAATTTCTTGAGTATGCAATAATTTGTTGCTAATCCCTACGAATTAAATTACCTCGAATTCGGTGATTAATTTTCACCCTTCTTTTGTAACTTGTTACTAACATCTGTTGGCTAATTGTTTTGGTGGCTTTTAACCTCTTGATTTCACCACCTCCTTATTCCTGAAACTGATTAACTAAAATAACCACTTGATTGGTAAAACATTTTGATTTAAAAACATTATATATTAGTGTAGAGCCGATGATGAGGAACTAACTGTAAAGGAATATATTCCTTCGCTCAATCTGTTTTTTATTTTCTAAATGCGTAAGTGGAAATTTGGAAATGTAGTAATTCTATATGACCGCTATTCACAAGATTATGCGACATTGCAGCTATCAAGAGAAAAATATACGCGTATTCATATTGTTCCGTGGTGTTGATCGTCACATAACTGACTATTATTACTGCTATCAATAGTTTAACTATTAATAGAGTAGGGAATTTTTTACTTTTTCTCTGTGTGACATAAAGGGAATTCTAAGGAAACGAATATTCGTGGCTAATATTATCCTCCAATCAGTATTCTGTTGATGTTACTCATTTGAGATTTGTATACCCAGAAATGAAATTTGATAGTGATTGACCTAAATTTTCTGTCTAGTCTTTTTTTTAAAAAAATGCTTAGACTAAATCTTTTGTTCTTATTGGGATACTGTATTCATGTAAGAAATAAAAATGAAGTAAACAGATACTATGAAGATGGTAACCAACGCTCGATAGAATTCCCACTGTTATGCATCAAACAGTTTCAGAAGGCACACGAACACTAATCTCTTACCTGCCAAAACCATGTTCCTTGCATCAGATATGTCCAACTGCGCATTATGCCATAAATTGGTTGATGAGGAGCTATCAGTTCGCAGAGTAGTAATACAACACCTAATGCTACCATTCCAGCTAAGAGTAAGTGAATATAAGCATCCAATGGACTTCTCCCGTGTAAATGAAACATGAATAGGAAGAATTCTCCTAGAAGTGCCATAAGAGTGAAGAAGTATTCTGATTGACTAAACAGAAGGAAAAAGCGAAACAGGAATGAATATATCAGTGGAGATATTTGTCTGAACAAATATTTTAAAAAATAAACTTCAAATTCACCTGACTGACATCTCTGTTCAGAATGAGTAGCTGTAAATCATTTACATTGGTGATGACATTTTGAGAAATGGAATAAGATTATGCAGGTGTCAGATAGGCTCTTACCTTTTTAAAAGTGGATTTATCACTTGTCTTTTGCAAGTGCCTCATGATGTCAAATTGAAAACAGTAAATGACAAAGTTTTGACCGAAGGTTGATGCAGGTAACGATATTTCTTTCATTTATTTCTACTCAACAGCTTGAAAAATGAGAAAATTGGCAGGAGCATAAATGTAAATTCCTCTCTTTCCGATTTACCTTAACTGTTTACAGCAGAAGACAAAATAGATAATGTGCTTACAGAAGATATGAGTTTGTTCATTGGCTGGCATTGGCCATAAATGAAACTAAATTAAAGTTTCAGATTTGCCCAAGATTGATATCAGTTTGAGAACCATTGAAATCCTTGGAGTTCTATATAGCTGTTTCGTCCTAGCCTAGAACTCATTGGCAGCACGCATTCACCGGGTTTCTAACCTGTGACCACCAGGTTACAAGGAAAGCTCGTAGACCATCAAGCCACTGGGATTCGATTCAACGGCTCATGAATTCTAACTTCTATCAATTCGTGATTTTAGCGCAACCACTAGCCAGTGTCATTAGTAAGTATTTATCCTTACTCCTGACTGGATGAACACTACTGGTCATGAATTTTACTAGAACTCCAATCAATTTCTTTCTGTAGCCAATCACTAGCTAGAATCATATTCATTTTCAGGAGTTAGGTTTTAAGTACTTGATTTTTTTAAAGTTTGACGGAACAGTCGCCCAGTACTCTCTAACCGATATCGATTCATGGTCAAACTTGGGACAAATCAAATTCCTAGAAACTAACTCTTAAAAGTACACCATAGTTACTAGAAAGTATTGAAAGCTGACTGATTTGCAGAATGCTTGCACAATTACTATGGAATAGATGGAAATGTTGGACAGTCACTGACTGACACTGTTACATTTAAAGTCATGGTAAGTGAATTTGTCATTTCTAAATCCCCCTGCTCACGAATTACAGACTGATACACTTCAATCACTTCAGTCAGTAAATGGGAAATTAATACCATTCCTACAAAAGTCTTAAGTGACTTAAGCAAATGCAAAGCAAGATTCAGAACTTTTTGACAGAATTGCTTTATATATAAAAGGAATTACAACTTGTGAAGATAAATGTTAAGGAATCGGTATTAGGGTTCAAAAGAGTTAATAGAACCAAACACAGAAAATAGCCCGGTTAGTGATTATTAATTCGAATGACTGCTGTCACATGGTTAAGAGTCATCTGATTCACTTCAGCCTCATTAAACATTCTCACGCCACTACAATACAGAAATTTTAGGAGAACGGAATAACAATTTGACCCTCGCACAAAATTTTAGTAGAATCAATTAAATATCAGCATGTCAGTATTAGTTTACTTGATTTCTTGTTTGCAGACAATAATTAATCTCATATCTCCTTTAAAACATGGGAAAAACAGACTAGTGAACTGAAATGATGAATGTTTGACTTCCACCACATGGAGCAGAGACAGTCACTCACTTGGATGTAGGCAAATCCATGATTTCATTCAAGTGACATACGTAAAATCAAGGCAGCACAACGATACTTCACTTTAAGAACACTGAATTCAAAAACCAGTCCTGACTACACAGTCTTATAACAAATTGAGAATGTACCTTGAGGTAATGCAGAATTTTTGCAGGTTAAAACACGAGCTAGGCTAAATCTCATCTTTCATTACCAGTTAACTAATCACATCTCACACACACACACCTGTGTCAGAATCCAAATTCAGTTCAAGACTTGGAAATCACAACAACTTCAGTATAAATGAGCAGTTTCAAGTCCTCAGCAAGTAGGTTAATAACTGGCCTCAAACAAGTACTGAATAAAAGTAAAGTAAATTGAGACAAATTGCAGTAGATTTATATTATTTCTTACTATGAATATCGAAGGAATCAAGAGAAGTCTACTCATCATTAGTGTCAGTATAAAGTTTGAGCATTGTGGAATAGATCCAATATTAATTTTCTTAAAGGTCAGGTTCCGGTCGACGCAACCTCAATCAGTTTCTTAACATACTCTATCTACTGATCAGAAAGAAGCTTTATCCCTTGGACTCATATTTTGTGTTCCTCGCACGCAATTTATGGATTTAGCCATCCATGCTGAGTTTGAAAACTTATATGACCAACTCAAATCTCTTGCCGTAACATCCGATGAAGATCGGGGTTGGTTTAAGGCCAAGATGGTGGATACAGCTCATCAGTTTTTTAACAACAACCCAAAGGAGAAAAGTATTTTAAATTCCCAGCATTTCAGAGCCTTGAAAGAGCTACGGGAAAATTCTAATATAATTATTACGAAACTTGATAAAGGTTCTGGAGTGGTCATTATGAATAAAAGTGACTACAAATCCAAAATGATGTCTATTCTTGATGATAAAAGCAAATTTAGCAGTGATCGCTCCTCAGAAGATATTCAGTTGTTGCAGGGCACAGTGACAGCTAATCTACTGAAGCTTGATGGCCTAAATGCTATAAGTAAAGATAAATTTGACTCATTAAAACCATCAGATTGTAAATTCCCGCATATGTGTGGCTTGCCAAAAATACATAAACCCAATAATCCTCTACGTCCTACATTGTCAATGTGCAAATCCCCAACACATAAACTTGCTAAATGGTTAGTAGAATTATTGCATCCAGTCAAAACACAATTCTGTAAGTATATGTTAAAAGATACATTTGAATTGGTTGATTTTCTTGACGATAGTAATATTAATATTATGAATAAGAATATGTACTCTTTTGATGTAAACTCGTTATTCACTTATGTGCCTTTGCTCAAAACAGTTGACATTTTGTGTGATTATATTTCCACAAACAATTTTTTCATCCCGTACCCTATATCTTATTTAAGGGATTTATTACTTCTATGTACTAACAATGTTAGGTTTACATTTGAAGGCGACTGTTTCCGCCAAGTTAATGGTGTTGCTATGGGAAGTCCGTTAGAGCCCCTTTTAGCAGATATTTATATGTCGTACACTGAGAATTTACCGGAGGATTTAATCGAAAATGATATTGTAATCATCAGTGATAAGTCTTGTTCTGCCACCTCAATTTTAAATAGAATGAATGAATTTCAGAATAGCATATCACTTACACCTGTAGAAGAGGAAGATAATTGTTTATCTTTCCTAGACATATTGCTTAGTCGACGGCCTGATGGGTCAATAAAAAGATCTATTTATAGAACACCTACCTGGACAGGACAGTATCTTAATTATCACAGTTTCTGCCCTGTTCGGTACAAAAGAGCCTTAGTAAGGTGCCTCTTCAGTAGAATCCAACGAATATGCACTGAAGACACACTTGATGAAGAAGAAAGAAAGTTGACACAAACTCTGGTTGATAACAATTATCCAGACAAGTTCATCAGGAGATATAAAGTAGTCAGAACACCAAGACCCACTCTACAACTCGCCCCTAAGAAAGACGTGTACATCAAGCTACCCTATATGGGGCATCAAAGCAGCTTGATAACTAGACAAAGACTGAACGCTGCTGTCAAAAAGACTTTTTATGCAGCCAATATCATAATAATAGAGAATGTAAAGCCAATATATCTATATAAGCCCTTCGAAGATGCGAAAAATGATGTCACATCCCACTGTATTTACCAATTTGAATGTACGTGTGGACACACATACATAGGGAGGACTCATCGATCTCTGCAAGTAAGCGCTGGCTTCAGAGCATATTCCTAAATGGCTCCAGAAACAGATGGAATCTTCAGAACCTATTAACGGCGAGAACAGGAGACGTAGCTCTTCTATTGCGAAACATATTGTAGAGACGGGACATAAAATTGACGTTTACAGATCTTTTTAAACCTATCTATAAAACGTGTTTGGGGCGTATCCTAAAGTTTGTGGAAGCCCTAGCAATTAGAAAGTTTAAGCCACTTTTATGCGTTCAAAAACAATTCGTCATCACATTAAACCCTCCTTGGTAAATTTTGTTTTTATTCCAGATGTAGCAGATGTACTATTACCTCTGCTATTTGGTTTAGTGGTCTTCATTGTTATTTTGACCTTGAATATGTCCTTTTAACTTGACTTAAGTCTATTTTCTCACCTCTTAACTCTTTATTAATTTCATATATATTCCTATGACAAGTCCGTGTGTGATCACATTGTTCGAAATGTGTTGCGCAAATACATTACACGATTCAGACAAATTGCGTCTCCTTATTGCTTTATCTAAAGAAATTTGTTGTCATTATGCTTTATCAGTTAATCGAGGAAGTTATGCACACCTGTCGTTAGTAATTTTTCAGTAAGAATTGATTACCTCGCTTTTTAAATTGAATAGAGACCCCCTGTGACTTCTCCAGTGTACTAATTATTGACTTGTCAGATTTAAAAAGATACTCATTCTTTTCATTCACAAATCAGCTTGAAGCACATGATCCATTGAGAAAACGTAGTACATCACTTAGTTGAAAAAACCCCATTTATCTATGCTACACTGATATAAGAAAAGAACTTGAGCACTGTGTTAGAGTATAATTCCATCAAAAAGAAAATTTATTTGATATAATCACACAGTGATACAGTAATATTTACTGATGACGTCTCGATCACAGTTCATTGCTCATAACCATATCGTGATGATGAACATCACGAACAGCTGCCTTCACCTGTCCATACTGAATATCTCGAGGCACTCGGAAAGGATAAGCCACAAGGAACTCTGATGGCGAACCAACCGAGAACTCATCGTGAACAATTATGCAGAAGGAAATGGAAATAGGTTGGATACACACTAGGTAGACTGTCGGGTGACAACACGTGCAAAGCACTCAAGTGAAGACAAAATGAGAAGTGATAAGTTGGATGCGTGTCCGAAGGTGACATGGTGGAGATCGTGCAAGAAGGAGATAAAGACTTATTAGCAACCCTGCAGCCAGTCAAAAAAAGACTGTAGAAAACAGAGTAAAATAAGGGCGTGTTGCTAAGGCCATTTGTCCCATTTGGAACCCGAGGAAATAATAATAATAAAACGAGCAGAAATTGTTCTATCTCATGTGTCCTTATAATGAAGTTGTATGGTTGAACTAGCTTACGAATAATTCTACTCCTCAAATCAATGTTACAGCATTAAAAGTTCCATCGTAATTGTACTGCGCTGAGATATCAAAGTCTCCAGTGCACCATTTGTATTCATTAGTCTAACTTGCATCAGTGTAACAGAATTAGACATACGCTTTATTGCCAGGTAATAATAAATATTGACTTTTAGATTTTCGTCACAAACCAACATTGCTTAGAGAGACCACTGAGAACCAGGGGCGCTGGAAAGCTGTTTCATCTTATTTTGGGACTCTTCATCAGTACGCACCCAGGACCCCGACATGGATCGAACTCATGACCTTCAGCTTATGACAGAAGGCTCGTTGACCAACACAATGCCATGGTAAAGTGGATGTGAATCGATGACACTTGTGAGGGCGGCCAACGAAGTTATAATTCTGGAGTTATTGAATCCCAGCTGAAGTGGCCGAATGGTCTCGTAACCTGAAGGTCCCGGGTATGATCCCCGATGGGGTCGTGCGTGTGCACTGTGATGAGTCTCAAAATAGAACGAAACAGATGTCCAGTACACCATGGTTTTCAATGATTCCTCCAACTGATGTTGGTTTGTGACAAAAATCCAACAGTAGAAATTAATCCAAAGTCACCACAAATCCTTTAATCTGAATAATAAACATCAAAATGATGACTTGTTTACAGGCCAACAGGCTTTATTACTTCTGTGAGAATTTCTTTCGAAGAAATCTTGATCTATAAATGTTCCTGATAAATATATAGACCATCTGGCCTGAATTTTCCGAGAAACGAACTGATGAGACTAATAATCACACCACCTAGTTACGCATCAGTGAATAAGTGTACGAGGTACTGCTAGACCCTGTAACTATAACACATGACAGTATGAGACCAAGGACACGTGGTTTCTAGAAAGAATTTAAGACATTTTTAGTGAGTATGAAAATTCCTTGACTTCGTGTTATTATTATCAAGTGTAGGATGTCACTAAGGTTAGGTTGACATTTTGCGGTTGCCACGATAAAATAACTAATTAACTCTGTCACCCACTCTTTCCTACTATAAATGCGATAGTCATCTCTGAAATAGTAAATGACTAAGCTAATTTTTGTCAGTATACTCATACGGGACTTGTTAACAGTTTATGAAACACTACATATTGAGTGCATCATAAGTATTCTGAAGGAAGAGTACACTGAGCTCTTTTGTGGAATAATTAAACTCCAGTGTCATATCAGCCATCGTCAAAGGGGAAAGATTTAACAGAGGTTACTTCCTTCACTTATCTAGGAAGCATCGTTTCAACCACAGGCGAAACAGGTGAAGATATCAGAATCGGAAAGACAAGACACGCCTTCATCTATCTGAAACCAGTTTGGAAATCTTCTGCACTCAGTCAAACAGCATAAGAAATAAGATTAAGATTTTCAACACAAATGTAAAGTCGGTCCTTCATTATGGGTCAGAAACTTGGCGTGTCACGAAAAGGATGTCCAACAGGTTGCAAACTTTTATCGACAGCTCCCTTTTCTGGCTCCATATTGATTGAAGATAAAATGGCTGACTAGAAAGAATTAGCAACAAAAACTGTGGCAACAAACTAATCAAGAGCCTATTGCTCAACAAATATGTAGGAGGAAATGGAGATGGATTGGGCATACGTTGAGGAGGCCGTCAAATGACATCACGTGCCAGGTCATTGCTCGAGTGGAATTCCAATGGGAAGCTATGAGTAGGTCCTTCGAGGGTGACATGGAGGAGGTCGTGTGAGGAGGAGATGGGAGATTATGTGCAATCGTCGACCCAGCTGAAGAGGACAGCACCGAATAGAACAAAGTGGAGATGTGTTGTTGAAGCCTTATGTTCAACTTGGAACCCAAGGGAATAATAATAATAAGGGATCTTGAGCACTTTATTTCTCCACCGTTATCATGCTACTAGGTTTGTAGTTTACTGGTTGGTAAATCTCTTAGACTTGATCGTCGGATTTATCCAAACTAGTCAGTTTGTGTAGAATCAACTTAATATATCATAAATTGTTTGTCACTGTGAAATACTGCCGTGTCAGATAGAGTGTGACTTCAGATGTCTTGGACATAACTATTTGAAATTTGTACGATGGACAAGCTGCAATTGGAATCCCTAAAGAAGACACGTGGGCGTCAGTCTTCAACTAGATAACAGCTTCATGAAATATAAATATTTATAAACTATTTCAACAACAACGAGAATATACTCACTTACACTGGAATTTTCAATACCCCATAAAGTATGCATACTTCAGCAACGCCACTTACTCCAAATAAAGAGATCATACTGACATGTTGTGCACTATGGGGATCCACATTCGTCCAGTCTTTTTTAAAGCCTAACTGAACTTCTTCGCACAATACAATTATGCAACATAAGATTTTTAAGACTGAATCAAGTGGTATAACTTTTATACAGCAGTTGTGCTTATTGGAAGTTTTTCTCACAATTGGAAATGATATTCTATTGATAAATAATGGAATTGATTCTCTGGGCCTGTTTAAATCATAACGTTTTCGTCGGTTAAATTTTTCTGTTATATTCCAAACAGACCATAAACCAAAAAAGATGAAAACGCTCCCAGGGAACACATGTCCAGCAAATGTACCCATTTTTAGAAAACGTTTACTGGGCGAATGTTTGTAGAATAAATATGTACTGTTTAGTTGCTTGCAGCTCAGTTTTTATTCAGTTAGTCATATGAAATCAGGTGATTTTATGCATAATTGAAAGTTAAATTCTACTGGTTAATAACCTAAACAAATCACACAGGTTATAACTATGTCATCCAATAGTAAAGCTTGGATCTGATTTATCAGTCAAAGGCGCTGCTATCTGTATACTTAAATGGGCTTAAGATTAAAGAGCTTAGCACAGAATTATGAAAATCACTAACTTGATTTATTTTCTAGTATTCGTACAGACGGTATACAGTAGATAAAACACTTGTATTAAACTTGCCCTAATGTGATTTTCACAAAAAAATATGTTGAAGAATGTAGCCACCCAGATGGCATCAGTTAAATCTTATTTTATTTCTATGTCAAATGTGAATAGCCAAAATAGATGGTGGACACATACATTTAACCAAAGACTGAAAATTATAAATGAGAGGAATTTAGTTAACTGAGCTTTCATGCAAACACCAACTCATAAAACTGAACAAACAGTTTTGTGATCCCGGTGCAAATCTTCATCTCCATCCGATGACAATGTTGGGAAGAGCATATTTGAATTTATTCTTGATCCAGATGCAGACACTACATTTGATATGTGGTTGTGCAGATACAAAGACATATTTAGGGTAACTTTTATGAGCAGAGATGACAGCTGGAAAGTTAGACTTCTACTTTAGAATTTAGACACGGATGAATTATAAAAATATTGCAGTTTGATTCTACCTCGGAAGCCCAGTGAAGGAACATTCGAAGAAACCATCCTGACACTGCATCAGCCCTTCAGTGATAATAGTTTGCTATCCAACATACGATACCATTTTATGAAATGTGTGTTGAACGAAAACGATAACATTCACACACGGTTAGGTATAATCAGCTGCACGTGTCAACGCTAGAGGCTAGACAACCTTCACAGAAATGCTACCTTGGTCTTATCTGACATTCAAAACACCGCAGAATGGAATGTGGTGCCATCAGTGTCGTACACAATGCATTGTTATCAATCCAAATGACCTTCGTCATGCTGGTACTGTGTCGGTGGCACAGTGGTTAGGACTCTCGCCGACGATAAACATGGTCCGGAGTTCGATCCCCTGCCGATGCACACCTGATATCAATGGTTGGCCTGCAAAATTTGGGCAACCGATATCACATGCTGAAAATTCCACACTTGTACCAAAATTATGATGTGGAATCAAGCTGTAATCAAAAAAATAATTAAATAAATACTCTGCATTGTTAAATCCATAGGTTAAGAAAAAGTTCAGTTTGAATACCCAAATTCTTGTGAGAGAATAAGTTTGCTAGTGATGGGTTTATGACAGTGGACCGACTGATGTGGGTCAGACATATCACGGACGTCAAAATATTTCCTTCCGTCTGAAGTCATACCCACCGAAAAAAATCAGTGACAAGAATCCTATACTGTAGGTCACTATAATGGGTGATGTGATCAGATTAATCGACCGAAATCCATGAGCTGGCCCTGTCGGTGCTCCATTTCCAAGGATATGAGTACGACAACTACTTATCGCATCAGTAGTCCTGCATCACATAAATTCACATAGGTAACAATGAACTCGTAGCTGGCATACCTACAAATAGACACTGCATCAGATATAATGATAATTGTGGAGTCTCGAGCAATATGATTGTACACCTTTTTGTTAGATATTAAAAATGGAAACACTGTACATAACTTATGTTTAAAACGATTCATTGTAAAATATACATAAATTCAGAGTACAATCTAAAATACAGCGGGCTGCTCGACGCTTCGTCTTCGCACTGGTCCATACTGTCTACTTGCTTCATTACTAACCGTGTAGTATCCTTTGGATTTTTGCAGGAACCTCTCATCCTCATCCAAAGACTATTCTACAACCGGTGCACAGCTCCTACTAGTAGACACGACTCCAGCAGTAAACTCTTCTGCGGATTATATTAAAAATTTGTAGCAGCGGACTTTAACTGTATAACGATACAGTATTATATTATTATTATTTTTGTTTAAATATTTGTTCCGTTACCGAGCTTGCTATTAGGTCCTCTACACAATATCGAAGCAGTCAGGGAAAAGACTGACCAGATCGCAGTCAGTGCATGTGGAAGAAAACACCACCAAAATACAATGTTGGCTTCCGTCAGTCCCTGTTTGTCGCAGTATGCGGCATGGTTTAAAGAACTACGGTTTTTTAAAACAGAGTGAGTTTAGATCTGGTCTGGAAAACACGAATTAGCTTAGACTTCACCTTTTACTACAAGTTAGTTAACCATCACTCACATACTTCCCATGTCTCAGCGATCTCCAGTAAAATATTCCGCCTGACATTTTACATTAAGAAGTTAAGGCACTCGGGTATAACTCAACCCCTCCTCTTACAGTTCATAAACTCTTGCATCCTACCTATTCTTCTTTATTGTTCACCCTTATTCTTTCCTGGTTTGCTTAAAAAGGACTTTGTCACAATTCGTAGAATGTTGAAGACTGTCAGTAGGATGAGTGGTGTCGCAGTGGACTACATAGTTAACGTCGTTGTCGATAGGCATTTGACTTCGTGCAGTAAATTTGCTAAAGGGATTTTGTCTGACTTGGAGCATCCACTTCACCCTCAGCTTTCACCTTGCATCTCCCCAGGTAGAACGAGAAGTAACTTCAGAGAACTGTATGCTCGCACGTCTAAGTATAAAAATTCTATGATACCATACTTGGCACGTATTTTATGTGATGAAAATAGCGTCAGGCAAGAATTGACTAACCTTTTTTCATCTAGTAAATAAACAATCTCCTCCATCCATCCTTATATACCTTCAAGTTTTACTTTTATTATTTCTGTTACATTTATGGTCCTGTCGACTCTTTGTTTTTACTTTCATAACTGCAAACACCAACTTATCTCTATGACTGCTGTAATCTTTGTTTTTTCCCTCACCATATCATGTAAAGAGAACATTATATTCAATATTTTTAATCATGCAAGAATTTGTATACCACATCAATAATACTGTATGAAACAAGCCCACGACAATTTCCACTTGTATTATTATCATTACCTTAGCTGCTATCATTATTATTATTTCCATTTTATATGCTGCATGTTTTTTTTTATATTACCACTATTGTAAGTGTAGAAAATTTTCTGTGTGATTAATTTTGTTTAAAATTTGAGGAAATTAGATGAAATATTGTGATTAATGCTGAAAATTCCATTCTGTATCACAAGTACTGTTTTTGGAATAAAGTAAATTATTATTATCATTATTACATCTGTATCAGGATTCAAATTCAATTAAAGATTTAGAAATCACGACAACTTGAGCATCAACGAGCAGCGCCTTAGAAATCCGGTAAAAAGAGCATTCCCTGCCGCTGCATTACTCTGTGTCTTCAAAACTACTGTTTTGCGTTCGGGAGTAAAAGGTAAACTGCTTAATTTCGCCTCTTTCATGTGTATCTACCAATTTAACTGCTCCTGTGGAGCCAGTTACGTAGGCCGTACAATTAGGCTTGTTTCTCGTTGGATTATTGAACATCACCCTGCGTGGTTAAGTAAAGGTCAAACAAAATCTATTTGTAGCGCTATGGATACAGAACACAAGATTGATGTTAACCAGACTTTCAGAGTTGTTAACCGCATTCCAACAAATCATAATTTCACCTTAAGAGTTCGATTGCTAAATATTGCTGAGGCTGTTGGGATCCATATTAAGAAGTCGAATGTGCCTCCAAAAGAAGTTAGTTCAGACATTACCCTTACCTTGGTCATCTAGGTTTGAATGATATTCAATTTTTGTGGAAGTTTCCTAATTTTAGTTGAAATTCTATTTGCTACTATATCTTTATTATTATTATTATAACTTAAGCATCTTTAATGATCTGTAATTCCATTGATCTTACTTTATAAATCGATATTATTTAAAAAACACTAATATTGTTATTGACCACTATTCTAGAATATTCTATATGTATAAACATATTCATAATTGTACTGCCAGAAAAGAAAATTGTCGAAAAGGATATTCTTTGCTCAATTAATTTGTGTGTTATATATGTCTGAATGAATATTTTCATTATCATTATTAGGTTCACCATTTATTTTTGTTTTGCTTTTGCACTTTTTTGATATTCTTAATGAATCTTATAGGATAGTTATTTAACACCAACGCCTCTTCTATCTGTTTCATTTCATCGTTTAGGTCTTTTCTTGTGCTACTTAATGCTACTGTTCGGTTTGTTAGACACTTAACTAAGCCAGCCTTTACAGATAACGGATGAGATGAATTAAAGCTCAAATATCGATTAGCAGAATGTGTTGGCTTTTTATAAACGCTGGTGTGCAGTTTACCTTCTTCTATTAGTTTTATTCTAAAATCTAACATCATGGCTAATTCTCCTTGTTCATTTTCCGATTCAAATGTGAATTGTATTCCCTTGACTAGTGAGTTTATATGCATCAAAAAGCTAGAGATATATTCTGTTTCTAACACTGTGAAAGTGTCATCCACATATCTCCACCATATTTTTGGAGTAGGATTAAATGTGTTTAGAGCGACTGCAGTGCACGCATTTACGCGCAACCATACCATAGGGTGGGACAGAGTCAAAAAATTCTAAAAAGTAATATGGGTAGGTGGAGAAAGAGATTGACTACTGAATCCTGGTTCATTGAGTCTACACCCAATGCATGCAACAGAAATGACTCAATTCAAATACCAGAGATATGGAAGATATTATTACCACCAGTCAAATCCGAGGAGGATAATAAATAATCTTAAAATTCTATCTCAATTCACGTACATCATAACATTCTAACAAGTTACTTATTTTGACTATAAAAACATCTTATTTCCCATCTGACTGTATTCGATTGATAACACTAATATTATTTCTGAATGTACATTGTCTTATATTGATTTTTATTCAAATGTCTAAT